AGGAACGTTGTAAAATGGGGCAAAACTCACTTAACTGTCTTGCACAGCAACAGAAAATTTGGCCTCAATTGTGGTCGTAAATCAAGGACTACCTATATACAGAAATGGGGGGGGGGGGAAACTGTTCTTGTGTTGCAAAGATGCAGTTATAAGAAGCAGGCATGTATTTATTTGAGAAATTGTCTCAATAATGGAAATGCATTGTATGCTTCCCCCCCCCCCCATTTCTGTATATAGGTAGTCCTTGATTTACGACCACAATTGAGGCCAAATTTTCTGTTGCTGTGCAAGACAGTTAAGTGAGTTTTGCCCCATTTTACAACGTTCCTTGCGACATCTGCTAAGTGAAGCACTGCAGTTGCTTTGCTGCAAGGAGGTCAATTGCTGGGAGGCAGAGGCCAAAGGGTGGGGGCTGGTGGGTGGGTGGAGTTGCGTTTGGTATATGAGACGCACCCAAATTTTCACCTTCTTTTAGGGGGGAAACGGTGCGTCTTATACTCCAAAAAACAGCAACAATTTGGCAACATTGCCAGTTTCATCATCATTCAGCCGGTGATGAGGCCTCTTTTAAGACAGCGGATAGGACAAAAAGAAGAAAAAAGAAAACACTTACTTTTTTTGAACAGAATTTTAACTCTCTCTCTCTTGCTTGCAATGTTTCCCAAAGCGCCTTGGACTTTGCCCAAGCCGTCTGTTATCTAGACAGGGAAAGGCCATTATTCACAACTGGAAAGGGGGGGAAAATGCTGCATGCAGTTTGCTTTGAAGCTGATGTTTTTCAAAGCTGGATGAGTGGACTTCAGCTCCCAGAATTCCCCAGCCAGCATTTGTCCACCCAGCTTAAAAACTGCCTAACCACTGTAAACTGACTTGATGACTTGGAAAAGTACTTTACTAAACACTGGACACTAGAGGGAACTATAAAGATTGCAACTGAAGGAGAAGAACAAGACTTACAATTACAGAATGAAGCTGTTCTGATCCAGCTACCCAAACAAGACAGACCCTCTGAAGTTAACTCAAAGACTCCATTCTTGGGAGGGCTGGCAGCCCTGGCAAAAGGTTTCTTCTCACTGCAGGCTAACAGGTCTGTTCGGCAGGGAGATGAATGGTTGTCTGCCACATCTATTCATCTCCGTCCCCTGCCTTTGATCCCCAGAGCTGGGTGGGGCTTCGCTAAGCAGCGGGGGCTCTTCCATCCCAATGACCGGCCCATAGATTTCCACTGCTCTCCTCTCCTTCTGCGCATCCCCGCGTCAGGCACTGGGCCCAGCTGTTCCTCCTCTTCCTCATCAGCCACCACCAGACCTGGGGGCTGTTGACTCTCCATCTGAGGGCTGAGGGACAGCCAGGCTCCACCCCGGTCTCTCTCTCTCTCTCTGCCAGCTCCATTCCCTCTTCCCCCTCAGAGCTCTCAGGTTGCCTTGAGGCCGACCCTGACTCCCACGCCTCATCCTCTGATTGTTTTCGTAGAAATCCACGGGTGTAGGTATGCTGGTCTTGTTGTATTCGGGTCTTTTCCCGTGTAAGATTGAGATTGTCTTGGCGACATTTTGGCAAGGTCTCACTTGCCATCCTCAAGCTGGTGCCGAAACGTTGCCAAGAAAATTTCAATCTTACACGGGAAAAGACCTGAATACAAGACCAGTGTGTGTGTGTGTGTGTGTGTGTGTATATATCTATATCTATATCTATATCTATATCTATATCTATATCTATATCTATATCTATATCTATATC